AGCTACAGTGTCGAGCAGTGGATTTTCATCGATGTCCACCATTCGTCCGTACTGCACCCAGTTGACATGGTGGTAGTCTTTACGCAGGCAGCTTCTAGCAGGAACCACGTTGACACCGACTTCAGTCACCACCGGTTGGTGGTCGGAGCTGAGATCGTTGTGCGCCTCCGGCTTGGATAGTCCGATGTTTGACAGGAAAATGTCCAGCGTGGAGGGATTTCCCGCCGGAGAGATGAAAGTTGGTTCGACCGGAAATTGCACAGTGTACAGTCCATGTTGTGCGTGGTCGAACAATAGACATCCGTTCCGGTTCCTCTGGTAGTTCCGCCAAGCTTCATGGCGGACATTCAGGTCACCCCCAACGATGAATCGGGAGCTAGTACGGGTGATGGCGGTCAGGTCGTTCTTGAATTGAGTTCCTAGTCCATTGTTGGCGGTGCACTGGCGTGGGCAGTAAACAGCGACAAACCGGACGTTTCCAGTTGGTGATTCCACCTCCACACTAACGGCCTCGATGATAGAAGTGCGTGTCCTCCACGAGCTTAGATAGCTCATATTTATACCCTCCGTATTTTCTCCTCGTTAATCCAGCACTGCTTGCTTTGCCAGTATTTCCCCTCACATCTGTCATGCTTTACGCTAATTTAGTGCAACTCAAATGGAGTGTATCATTACTTGACCCAACTCTCAAGTTTTTATATATTTATTTTAATATTATTATTTCACACCAACTATATCCACCACACCAACCATCAACATCTCGGCATGATCCGCCAAGGGTGAGGCGCGTTACTCGTGTCAACACTGAAGCTCCATCATTGCAGGAGATAGAAGCAGCCATCCGAAGTATGAAGTTCAACAAAGCCCCGGGGGTCGATCGCATATCAGCAGACATGCTCAAAACTGACCTCATGCTATCCTCACAAATGTTGCATCAACTATTCGTTAATATCTGGGACACTGCGACTTTTCCGGCCGACTGGATGCAGGGCGTCTTGGTAAAAGTCCCCAAGAAGGGGGATCCAACTGTATGTGACAACTGGCGAGGCTTCATGTAACTGTGTATTGTTCTCAAAGTTCTGTGTGAAGTTATCCTTAATCGGATACAGGAGAAGATATACACGAATATCCGACGACAGCTGGCAGGATTCCGTGCTGGAAGATCCTGTGTGGACCATATTATCACGCCCAGCATCATCTTGGAGCAGAGTTCCTGTACTTGGTATTCATTGACTACGAAAAAGCTTGCGACCGACTAAACCACGAAAACTTGTGGGGCGCTCTGAGACGCAAGGGAGTCCCTGATAAGATCGTTAACCTCATCGAAGCGCAGTACGAGGCTTTCTCATGCAGAGTGTTGCACAACGGAGATCTGTCTGACCCGATTCGGGTAATCGCGGGTGTGAGGCAAGGATGTATATTATCACCGCTACTGTTCCTCTTCGTAATCGACGAGATCATGGTTGCAGCCGTTGACCGTGTACCGAACCGTGGGTTGCTGTGGCAGCCTATTACCATGGAGCATCTCAACGACTTCGATTTGGCTGATGATGTTGCGTTATTAGCACAACGGCGCTCTGACATGCAGAGTAAGCTCGACGACCTTGTGGAACGCTCCTCTGAAGCAGGTCTATCCATCAACGTCAATAAGACCAAATCGTTGGATGTCAACACGGAAAACCGTTCCAATTTCACGGTAGCTGGGCAGTAGACTGATGCAAATTTTGACATTTTCGCTCCACAGTGCTCATACGGTTCCAAATCGGGTCCTGATTAGTCTCCCAAAATTTGAACTCATTTGCAAAGAAACTGACTTGGCACAAACCATTTGAAGTTTGTATGGAAATTACTATGGGAAATCAAAACTTTTTGTTCATTGTCTTCTTACCTTTTTCCATATTGCACTGTTCAAAAATTCAAAAGCTTTACTTATGGAAAATTTTCTCAGCTTCAACTTAGCAGAATATAGTTGTTGAGCCAAACGTCAAATAAAATAGTTATTAATTGTTTAAGAGATTGATAATCTTATGGCATGATCAAGCAGCTGTTTTGTGAGCAACACTGTATCTTGCAGTGTGACATAGTAGCCATGATTTTTGTGCTCTATTCCAAGCGCCAGAAACACCAATGCAAGCGCCAGAAACACCTGCTGAACAGTTGATTGAGCATAATCGTAAGACATTAGTGGCTTGAATTATTGATAACTTTTGATGCTTACATTATTTTGAAAAGTGGTCAAGGACAAAGTTGTAGCTGAGAAAATTTTCTACGAGCTCAGTCATCATTTTTTAAAGCAGAGCGATATGGTAAATTGTTAGATGGATATGAACAAAAAATTTGGTTTTCCTATAGTAATTTCCATATAAACTTCAAATGGTTTGTGCAAAGTCAGTTTCTTATCGAATGAGTTCAAATTTTGGGAGACTAATCAGGACCCGATTTGGAACCGTTTGAGCACTGTGGAGCGAAAATTTCAAAATTTGCATCAGTCTACTGGGCAGGCAGTGGAGAAAGTCGAAAGCTTCCAATATCTTGGCAGCCAGATAGCGTGGGACGGCGGCACCAAGAGCACGGATTAAGAAGGCTGCTTTTACCAGTTTGCGAAATGTATGGAAAGCGAATCAGATCAGTCGACGCACCAAAATCCGAATTTTTTACTCGAACGTGAAGTCTGTGCTGTTATAGGCCAGTGAAACATGGTGTGTATCAGCGGAGAACACTCAGAAGCTGCAGGTGTTTTTCAACCGATGCCTGCGGTACATAATTCGTGCCTGGTGGCCCCACAATTGGATATCAAATTCCGAGCTTCATCGTTTGTGCCATCAGAAGCCTATAGAGACAGAAATTCGTGAACGGAAGCGGAGGTGGGTCGGCCACACACTACTCCGCTCCGGCAACGAAATCTACAAGCACTGGACTGGAATCCAGCAGGACATCGCAGCAGAGGCAGACCCAGAGTGAAATTAAGAACGTTGACCGAAATTTGACTTGAGCACAGGTCAAGGCCAAAGCTAGTAATCGCCCGGGATGGAAATCTTTCACAAAGGACCCCTGGAGGTGCGCAGGATCATTAACCTACTAAACCTACTGACCTACTAAATACGGTGCTGTATAGAACATTAAATTTTGAATGATAACAATTGAATTTTAACGGCGCCGGTGGTGTAGTGTTAAGCGTAATTGCCTTTCACCCCAAAGGGCCTGGGTTCAATCCCAGTTGGCGCCGCCGGGATTTTCTGAGGCATAAAATCTCTGATCATGTTGGTCCCCGGTTCATGAGTTGATGGGTCAATAGGTAGGATCCAGGTGTGGGAGCTGCCTCCCTGGCGTCGGTAGCATTGCTACTCAGTACGGAAAACAAGATCGGCGGAAAACAAATCAAGGTAAAAAAAAGATTTTTATTGTGTGTTTCTTATATAGGGATTAATATAAGCTAGGTTACGTTCATCTTTAAATTTAAATATTTGTTTAGTATTGGGACATACAGTTTTGTTAAATTTGCATATGCAAATTACTTGGCTACTTATGAATTTCAAGTTTTAGAAAATTCTAGACTTGTTTTTAGATTTTAAAATTTTATAATTGATAAAGCATGATCCAGTTAGAATTTGGACGCAGGAAATCAGCGGCCAACTCTGCATCATCCCTAGTCACCTTGCCAGTCTTCTTTAACTTCTGCTGAAATTTTCGGATTGGGTGGAATTGGAATTCTTTTCTATAAATCCACTACGTAGTCTCGGTACCACTGAAATGCCTCCCAACTGTAGTAACATCTTGGTACCACTGGACAAAATTTAACAGGTCCTTTGTGTGTTTTAAAAAATGCAGAATAATGCGTTTTTTCATACACTCTTTCTTGTACACCATCAAGTCTATCGTCTTATTTGTAGCGAAAATTTTGATTTTTGCGGTCATAACTGCAGATCCTCTGCCAGATCATCAACTTCCGGCTTAATTTGTCCGCAAAAACGATCTATCGTCTGACAAATCTCCTCGTGCCATGACAATTTTCTTAAATCTATTTATCTTTTCGCTAATTTGAAAGCTTGCCACGTTGGGTTTTTGATCAATTTGTGCAAAATAAATTTCCATCGCTACTAGCATACCTTTTTCAAATCAGCACGAGTCATGTTGAAACTTTCAGCACTCAAAACCCACTGCTGTCAAAACATGCCAGCTCTATCTTTTGAGTTAATGCTATACAATAAATTCTGCGTCCAGATTCAAACTTTCAAAAGTTAACTTTGATATTTTATGTATATCATTGGGTCGTATGAATAAAAGAGTTTACCTTACTTCACCGTAAACAAGCACGGGAGACTTTTCTATATTTATTCCTTCTTTTCTGATAAAAAAAAACTCTCCACAACTCTAGGACTACTAGCTCCATAGTAAGTTAAAGAACTAATGAGAAAAAAAAATGAATACCACGGCTACTGCGATAGTGTTTTCCCACGGGACTATTGCACTGTAGCTCTGTATATCGACTTGTAGAGAGTTTACTGTATTATAAATGCATCTGATTATTATGCTATTTGAATGGTTGTCTTTGTTTCACTGAAAGACTGCATCCTAATTCGATCAAATGATTCTAAAATATACCTCTGGCAAATTTTCCTATTCGGCGTGACTCTGGCTACGGGTCACGCGGAGCGGAATACGCATTGATGCCTCAATTAGTCATGACATATGTTCTTCTTCAGGAAAAATAAATTTTATATCCTAATTAAGACATAAAACAAACACTTGCCAGGTTGCAGCTCAAAACACGCACACTCATACATGAAAGGAAAGCAATCGTAGCGTATCAACAAGGCTGGGCAGGGAAGCAAACGAAAGGAAAAGAAAATGGTACAAATGTTTTTGCTGGAAATCTGTCTAAATCAACTACTGATGGAAAAATGTTCTACCACACTTTTCTCCTAACATCGTAATCATCGTTTAGCGAAAGAGAAATAAGATTTTCTTAAATTAGGTTGACAAGTTTCACGGTTACTTACTTCAACGATGGATAAATGACCTTGTTTCCTTTAAAACCGTTCTCTGGCACAAAACAGAGCTAGAAAATATCCTGAACATAAATTCTCGAAATTTTTTCCAACACTATGATATGTACGGTGGTTCATAGTTTTCAATCTTCTCAATAGTGATTAGAATCGATTTTCCACCTTGATAGCGTATTTCTAATGCACCAATCACTTGATTTGTATCCAGCTCTTTTTTTCTCTCAGTACACCTTGCACACAAAATCACTAGGGCTTTTGCACCTTAATTTATTTTTAGGGATGTGGGAAATATGGGTGATTCCTTACTCGCTCCGATGTGCAATGATATCTAGAGGATGCTCTCTGATTCGCACTAGAGGATGTTTTTCCAGAATTATGTCCTTCAAAGTGACAATCGGTGCTGACAGGACCTTTTGACAAATACGGTATTGGGAGTCTCACATTTAGATGGCCGATGCTGGTGGATCATGCGCAATGTTGGGAATTTCATTTGGGACGGTAAGCATCAGTGGTATGGTTTTCTCCAGTGCAAAAGTCGGTTGATAAAAGAATTAAATAATTTTTTGCTACCGAGGTTTCTAAACACACGACGTCTTCGTGTTAGGAATCGCTTAAGTCAATCGATCTGTCGTTAAGAAAATTATTTGAGTGAAGATATATGTAGTGTTCGTTATTATTAGAAGTACGTGTAAACTACCATGCGTCTCCAGGCATTTCACTTTATTTTTTCGCAAAACCAACAACCCACAAAACAATGTGCACAGGGTTGATTTGTGTCGCGTAATTGAAACATAAAGCATCATACAAAGCACATTGTATCTATCTTCTCTAGATTGCTATTGAATTTTATTCCGATCGGACGTATTGAGTAGTTTGAAGCAGATGTTGGGTGGAAACAACTCAAAAATTGGTACATTGTTTACATGTGCACTTATGACAGCTACATAAAGCCATTTAATACAACATTAACTAAACGCACTCAACCTCAAGGTTGGGGCCTCCCTTAGCTCAGTCGGTAAAGGCGCAGCTACAAAGCAAGACCATGCTGGAGGTGGCTGCGTTCAATTCCCGGTCCGGTCTAGGAATTTTTCGGGTTGGAAAATTTCTCGACTTCCCTGGGCATAGAAGTATGATTGGACTTGCCACACAATTATACCAATGCAAAAATGGTATAGGCATCGAAAGCTCTCAATTAATAACTGTGGAAGTGCATCTAGAACACTAAGTTGAGAGCACGCAATAAGCTAATATGCGATATGCAATAAGCTTGAAATGCGAAGAAGAAGAAGAAGAAGACTCAACCTCAAGGTTGGGGAAATGTGACCCTATCTGATGGTGATGTTATTTTGTGTGGGTGAGCTACTTAGAAGTTCAGATGGTTTGACTGTAGTCTTTTTTTACAACAGAAGTCGACGACTATTTGACAATTTGTTCTTGAACTAATTTGCCTACAAGTTGTAAACTAATTTTCCAATTAATTCATTCCCACACACATGCTCTGGATACCCCTGGAATCTATAACATTTGCCCAAATGTCACAAACCCTTATGACACTTGCCAGAATGTAAGACTAGCTCGAATCGTTTGAAAACAGAACTCACAAATTTTGTATTTTTCTCGAAAGAACTACCGTATGCGTGATAATGTTTGCACCATCGTATAAATAAGTTTTCCGTTTCACCTGTGCATACAATGCCTTGGTTTTCTTTGCATGCACGTAACCTATAGCTCATACCGTAGTAGGCTGTGTATAAAAGAAAATGAAACGACATTTCAATCGCCGTGGGAGCGTCCCGGTGGACCGTCAAAAGGGTTTTAGACCGAGAAAAGAAAGGACAACTATCCGCGAAGGTGGCCACAGGTCGTCCGAGGTCAGCTCGGGTTCCGAGGGTTATCGCTGCTATCAAAAGGAAGATTCGGGTGAATCCAGTGCGTTCAATAAGGAAAATGGCAAAGGAACACGGGATCAGTGACTTTAAGGCACGAAGATTGCGGGGCGAAGTCGAGTGCACGGAAAAAAACTCACATGATTACCAACCGCATCCGGGAGCTACGAGTCGAACGATGCAAGAAAATCTTGAACTTCCTTAAGCGAAAAAATCCAGTAATTCTGTTCACCGACCAGAGCATGTTTACCGTCGATCCCGTATCAAATTACTATAACTATATTAGTTCTCTTCCGGTAAAAGACGTGGCCGACGAACACAAGAACGTGTATCTGACCAAGCATCCTGCTAGTGTTATGGTGTTTGGATTGGTGGCTTCCGATGGCAACAAAAAAATGAACCCGGTGTTCATTCCAGAAGGCGACAAGGTCAACACGGAGGTCTACATCGGGATTTTAAGTAAGTATGTTCTTCCGTGGATCAAAGAACAGTACGGTCCGAAGCCAAATGTGGTGAAGTGGTTGCAGGAACATCTTCCGTTCTGGGCGAAGGATATGTGGCCGCCATCCAGCCCCGATATTAATCCGCTGGATTACACAATATGGCGCGTCATGAAAGCCAAGGCCTGTTCTAAACGCCACCCGAGTACAGCAAGCCTCAGACAAACATTGACCCGTACCTGGAGATAAATGGATCCAGACTACATTATTAGAACCTGCCGTGCATTCCGAAAGCGTGTGGAGGCCGTAATTTCAGCAAGTGGAAACACGATCGATGATTAACATAGTTTAAGACTCTGAGAAACATCTCCCCTTTGAATAAATAAAAAAAAACATTATCACGCATACGGTACACATGTATAAATGACGGAATCTTCTAAAACTATTCCACCGCATTGAAAATCAACTCAAATTTAAGTACCGTTCAAACAAATTCGCTTACACTAGAGTCGGTGTACAATGAGTCACGCCAAGAGAAAAACAGTTTAACTCTCATCACGGTTTTCGAAAGATTCCCTTTCTTTTCACTTGGCAACAGAGGACTTCTTTATCAACTTCAAATGACTTCTAGCCATAAATAAAAATAGCAGCTGTAGTAAATCATCATATCAGTGATTTTGTCAAATTATCTTAACAAAAAATAGTAGAAATTCTCATTACTGGTCATTACTAAACGTATCCCATGACAAGTTGATGCTCACTGCGTATTTATGATCATTTCTTCGATTATATTTCATATTTTATTGCAATACCTTTCGTGGACCTTTCATAGTATCGTAATGTTTGTTTAATTTGCTCTATAGGTAGTCGGTTTGACAGTTCAATAGGTAGACTTGGCTTCACTCTTGGCGTGACTCATTATACACCGACTCTGGCTTACACCATGGTTGCTCACAGAGTGAGTAAAATGTTCCACAATTATAAGTAAATATCACTCTGTAACCAGTTGGTTACAATCCGTGGATTTTCGTTTGTATGAGTTCAAGACCAACAATTGAAATGGCCTTAACTCTATTTTGTAAACAGAGAAAATGGCCTTACAAGGTTTGTTTACAAAATAGAGTTAAGGCCATTTCAATTGTTGGTCTTGAGTTGTTGTTGTTTGGAAAATTCACGTTTTGTCAAACTTAAAACAGTAGAGAGCGAGAGGGCTTGTGCCGCTGCAAAGTACAACAACGTAACGTTACTGAAGGGAGGAAAATCTCGGCTTTAAAATAAAAATGGATGCGCAAATTGGATGATGAATAGCTAGCCATCTTAGGTTTGGAGGATTAGGTAGAAGTAACCAGGCGTCCGTGTAGACCAGTTGAATGTGAAGTGTAGTGCTTATACAATACAACCCCCCCCCCTCCCCCTTGTGGAGTTTGGGCTGGAAAGCCTACCTCCGTCCAGGTAATTCAAGACCTACAATTGAAATGGCCCTAACTCCATTTTGTAAACAAAGCTTGTAAGGCCATTTTCTCGCGAACCGAAAACTTTAATTCGCAAACCTAAACCACAATCGGGTTGAGGAGGACTTCCCCTACCTGTTCATTATGTTGGTTTGCCTTTGCGGACTTGAATTGATATATATTATCCTGACGGAAATTTCCCTGACTGAATTGTGATAATTTTCAGGACCTCTTGTGCTTTTGTACAACATGTACACTTCGTACCGTAAATAAAACGGTCTTACACGTCTCGGTTCGGAAGTCAAGATGGCTTCCGGGCCTAATAGTAAATGATACTCGATCGTCCGTCAGGAACGATTCCCTCAGACCGGTGGCCTTAATTACCAAGGAGGGTCCCGTCTCGGCTCGACCAAGGTGGCCATGCCACGGTCAGCCGATGCCGTCAACGACGGAAGACGCCTGCCAGCCAAACGAGCCAGCAACGCCTGCTGAGCCGTATTTGGCTGATGAACGCCACCAGATCCGCCATTCTCCCAAAGCTGCAACAACACTGTCTGCAGCCCGCGCCGCAAGTTTCCAGCCACACGGTAGTGCAGGAGCAGCCGTGTGGGCCAACGCCAACGTCGCGACGCTGTAGGAGATCCCGCTGCAGCAGTGAGTACTAAATTTTAAACCCTCGCATACACGCCACATATATGTGAAAACCCATACCCACACGCTACAGAAAAGGGCAAATAAATGTTTTAGAAAATGTGAATATTCCTGTGTGTTTCATACTTTGTCCGCGGAGCCCCTCCGAATACCCAGTAACATGCCGGCCCTGCGACACAGTTCAGGGGTCTCATGCTACTGAGCTAGTTACCCGGGAGTGTCTGGTCATGCCATAGTCACAACTCATAGTTGAGTAGATTTTACTAACTCAGTGAATAACTGTTTAAAGTGTAAGGTGAATCACTATGGAAACCTTATATCTGATTTATCTTAGTCTCAGCTCGAATTTTTAAGAGCATAAATATAAGCTCCCACAAAACATATAACAATTAAACTAGAAATTCACGTTTGCTGCAGTGCAGCAAACAGAGAGTTTCAATTCCATGAGCGATGTCACAACGGTGTCTGAGATTTCGGCGTTAGAGAACTTATTAGCCATCATCACACTTGAAGGAACTTAAGCAAATTGAGGGAAAAGATCTAAAATTTGAGTTAAATTTTGCGGCCGCGCACATTCTTATTTCTCATCAAACTTTAAAATCCTAGAACTCACAATGTTCTCCAAAGAGCTGTTCATGCATTTAAGATGGAAAAATCGCCAAAAACTGTTTGATTCAGATTTCTCATCAAATTTTCAAATCCTAGAACTCATAAATTTTCCAAAGTTCTCAAAAGAGCAGCGCATGTATAAAGAAGAAAACATATTTGTTTTACCTTGATTTGTTTTCCGTCGATCTTGTTTTCCGTGCTGAGCACCAATGCTACCGACGCCAGGGAGGCAGTTCCCATACCTGGGCCCTAACTCATAAACCGGGGATCAACGGCTTTACTTCCCTTCCCAAGGAAGATGTGATCAGAGATGTTATGCCTCAGAACATCCCGGCGGCGCCGACTGGGATTGAACCCAGGGCCTGATTACCACTACACCACCGGCACCGCTGAAAACACCGCTGAAAACATCTTCTCAAACTTTCAAAGTTTCAAATCCAAGATTTTTTTATTAACATGTAACATGCATGTATTGATGATATGATGTTTTTGAAATACAGAAATATACATGACTACAAACGATTATGGCTTGTGTTACATTCGAGCAAGTGTTACATTTCTAGCGGCGCCGGTGGTATAGTGGTAAGCGTGATTATCTCTCACCCCAGCAGGCCTGGGTTCAATCCCAGTCGGCACCGCCGGGATGTTCTGAGGCATAAAATCTCTGATCATGCCTTCCTTCGGAAGAGAAGTAAAGCCGTTGGTCCCCGGGTCATGAGTTGATAGGTAGGGTCCAGGTGTGGGAGCTCCCCCCTCTCGTCGGTAGCATTAGTGCTCAGCACGAAATAAAGATCGACGGAAAACAAATCAAGGGGGAAAAAAAGAAAAAAGTGTTACATTTGTACTAGTGTCATTCGAGATAGTGTTTTAAAATCGTCCAGAATATTAAATGAAACTATTCAATATTATACGAGAAACACATTTGTCACTGGTGGGTGGATTATTTTTTTTAATCTTGTGAGTATTCCACTAACATCCCAATTCATAAATTTAATCATTAAGTAAGCATAGCATCACATTATGCTATTAAGCTAGTGCGTTAACAACGTATTCAGGAGCAGTTGGCAGAGTTGTACTCAGGATTTTTTTAGATGGTGAACCCTCAGTTTTGTACCTCACTCTCTGGCTCTTTCACTTTTATGATGCCCTCATCACATTCCATAAGTTGACACCAAATACACGATTGCGTCCCCGTAGTCGAAATTATGTTATATCAATACATTAGGAAGGTACACATTGCCCATGCCATATTTACGTTTACAATGTACAATCGAGTCACCAGTTATATCAATAACTGCTCAGTGCTACCAGTTTACTCATCGATCACATGCTTCGTATGTCATAATATGCTGTGCGTGTATTGCTAAAAGATAAGCATATTTTGTCATAGTTTGTAACCAAATCTGTAAACTATACACAAGACAACATTAAACTACATTCAAAATGAGATATTGAAAAGTGATCAGAGCAGAGATGTAGCTACATGAGCGCCAATTAGCTTAATTTCTTTGGATAAACGTGCGTATGTATATCTGTATGAAATGTCAAATCAAAGTCATCCTCGCATCATTTTTGATCCCATTCTGAATATGAATCGCCGATTCACATTTTGGTTAGTGGTATTAGTATTTTTTGAAGTTCCGATTACGGCGTTGTAATGAATACAGTTCGTTCACACGTTTCTCGTTTTGTTTACTCTGTCTCCACGTATGGAACAGTAACAAACACGCAAACTGTGCCTGTATTGAATAAGTAGCGTGCCCCTTTGCGCTTGCGCCTTTTCGCGATTCGCTCTGTTTTCGCGGATCGTACGGTGGTCTTGTGTGTTTATTTGCGGACGAGCAAGTTTTCACCTCCACATGTTTATTCATTCCATTTAGCACAGTCAAAATGATGAAGGTCATACAAATAAAAACTCCCAAATCAGTCAGTCAGTGCAGACGGGGCATTCCTTCGCATCGGCTGTGTTACCACATCACTTATCGTACCCATAGCAACCGAGGGTAGCTCTGATTGTCAGCTGTTCTAGTCTTGTGTGGTATCTATCTGCTTTTATCAGGTGGTGGTGACTGACTTCTCGGTCTGGTTAGTTTGCTTCATTCACAAAGGCAGTCAGTTCAGTGCATTTTTATTCATAACACCACTATGCTTTCGAAATCGATTGACAGGTCGATTCTTCGACTATACTCATTTGCTAATAGTGTTCCAAAGGCTAACAATCGTGCGATAATACCTGCTTTCAGAGCATACTCTCAGAATGCGGAAAGGTAGGTCAATTTTGTGGCGACAAGGTGAAAGTAATCATTGATTAAATTTCAACCACTTGTAGGCAGTACGATATTGTGGTGGTTGGAGGCGGAATCGTCGGAATGGCCTCAGCTAGAGAGATATTGATGCGCCACCCGTCCCTGAAGGTGGCAGTAGTTGAGAAGGAACATAAATTGGCCTTCCACCAAAGTGGTCACAACAGTGGAGTAATACATGCTGGAATATACTACAAACCGGGATCGCTGAAGGCAAAGTTGTGTGTTGATGGTCTGCATTTGAGCTATAAATACTTCGATGAAAAGAACGTCCCATATAAGAAAGTGGGCAAATTAATTGTAGCAACAAACGAGGTTGAAGTGGGACGATTGAACGTAAGTAATGCTTATTGTTGGTAAAAGTGGTTTATCTGAAGATCTACAGAATTGTATCCCGGTTTATCTGTATTTTATTACCGTTTTAAATGGGTATGGCCAAGTATGGGATGGATTACACAATCGTGATTTGACAATAATTAGTGGTTGAAACGTATTTATAATCTAGTCAAAGAAAAGCGCCTGGTTCGGTTTAAGGCCAAGGCAGTTCCAGTAACTTCAGGGCAATCACAATTTTTTTGAAGAAGTTTCGAGAATTTCTGGAAAATTGTTAATGACAAAGCAACGAAGCATCCTAATATACTACCCAACAAACATTGAATGTTGAATAAGAGCTTTTTCAGGCAAAAATAAGCTTCATCAGCTAAAAAATTCCCTTTTCAGTTGTTAATCAACTCAAATTGTTTGTTGGGTAGCAACCTCGAAATTTTATGATTCTATCTTAATATTCAGCAATGTCAGGAATGCTCACGAACCTCCAACATTCAACCAGAAAACTTACAACTAGGCATCTTCCAGATAAGCTTCAAAGATGCATTTTTTTATCAAATGTTATATTCATTCCTCTATATTCGTAATACGTGCGCGAGGATTAAACCTTTGTAGACCACCCAACATTAGTTTTTAAACTACTAATACTTATTAAATAAAATGTCAAATGCCTGTAACCGCATATCAGTCTCATATACACACTTAGATTTTTTTGCCGAGATGGGCACCACCCAGTAGCTCGGCATTTTATTTTATTGGATTTCAGTGAAAAACTTGCCGAGATTCAGCAAAATTTATGTTTGTTAGCTGAGATCTCGGCAAAATTCCCATTTTTTAGCTGAATCTCGGCAAGTTTTTCACTGAGATCTAGCAAAATAAAATGCCGAGCTGCTAGGTGGTGCCCATCACGACAAAAAACACTAAGCATGTAGATTAAACTGATGCAAAATTTGACTTTTTCGCTCCACAGTGCTTAAATGGTTTCAAATCGGGTCCTGATTAGCCTCCCAAAGTTACAACTCATTTGGTTAGAAACAGACTTCGCACAAGCCATTTGAAGTTTACATGTAAATTACTACTATGGGAAATCTCAACTTTTTGTTCATTGCCTTCTAGTCTTTTTCCATATTGAGCTGCGAAATAGTTCGATAGCCATTATTAAAGAAAATTTTCTCAGCTACAACTTTGCTGAAGATCGTTTCTATGTAAAACAGGACAGGAAATAGTTATTAATTATTTAAGAGATTGGTAAACTTATGACATGATCAAGCAGCTGCTCTGTAGGCAACACTGTATTTTGCAGTGTGACATAGTAGCCATGACTTTTGTGTCCTATTCAACGCCCCAGAAACACCAATGTTGCCTGCTGAGCAGTTGATTGAGCATGATCATTAGACATCAGCGCATTGAACCATTGATAACTTTCGATTCTTGCATTTAATCAAAAAGTGGTCTTCGGCAAAGTTGTAGCTGGGAAAATTTCTTACAAGCACAGTTGAAAGCTTTTGAAGCAGACCGATATGGTGAATTATTAGATAGACATGATCTTGGTTTTACAATAGTAATTCCCATACAAACTTCAAATGGTTTGTGCCATCTCAGTTTCTCACCAAAGGGATTTAAATTTTGAGAGGTTATTCAGGATCCGATTTGGAATCGTTTAAGCATTGTGGAGCGAAAGAGTCAAATTTTGCATCAGTCTAATGTAGATGTTCTTCAATTTCAAGATAATAACAATATCCACTATCAATTGGCATCTTGTTTAATTTTGCGTGATACACATTTAAATTTTTTCGCCGAGAACAATTGCCGAGACTCAGCTAGCAAATAAGAATTTACAGAGATATAAGCAAAAGTAAATGCCGAGGAAATCGGCTGTTGGAGATTTTACCGAGCTAGATTAAGTGTGTAAAACTACGGACTTTGATCATGAAAAATGTGAAAATAACATCAAGCCAGTAATCGCATATCAGTCCCATCCTGAAATTCAATCGTTCAGAGGTCAAGTTACAGTTCTGTTTTTTAAATCGCCATAGTTTTCGCCGGTATAACACATCATGCATCATGCATATATATTGTATTCAATTTTAACATGACAAAATTATGGATTAATTTTTGCCATGCCTACTTTTTCCATATGGGACTGATAAGGGATTATAGGCAGTACAGCTATCCATACAACATAATCCATCAGAGATAACTTCGTCAAGATACATAATTTGCCCTTCCATAAAAACAATCTCACTAGATAACTGTTTAAAAGACAGCTTTAACGCGTGAAACGCAATGTCCCTTAGATTCTGCTATTGATGTTACAAATAAATGGTTTCAGCTCCGCATGATATAAAGCAGATCGTCCATTATGCTTTAAGCACAGACAAACAGACGTAACTCTTTGAAAAACTTGTTCTTGAAAACATAGTATCTCAAAACATATAACCTCAGTAGTGACATCTATCTGGCTTCTCGCGGAAAACAAGCTTGCTCGCTAACTCGTAAACAATATTGCATAAAAGTTCTATATAATATATAGAAACGTCAAAGTGATCCGATGCCAGCGCTGCGGCGAGTAGTTCGCGGAACTGATAATATTCAAATCAACCGTTAAATGCATGAACGAAGATACACAATGAAGAGTTACGTCTGTTTGTCTGTGCTTTAAGTGCTATACTTATCTTTCTGATGGCTAACTTCTTTCTGCCAATCGTATATTTATGGCTAGTAGGATGTACACTAGACTGATGCACAATTTGAAATTATCGCTCCACAGTGCTCAAACGATTCCAAATTGTGTCCTGATTAGCCTCCCAATATTTGAACTCATTTAGTAAGAAACTGACTTCGTACAAACCATTTGAGGTTTGTATGGAAATTACTATGGGGAAACCATAATTTTGCTTCATATATATCTCATAATTCACCAGTTCACTCTGCTTTAGAAAATGATAGCTGCGCTTGTTGAAAATTTTCTCAGCTACAACTTTTTTTAAAGACCACTTTTTGATCAAATGTAAGAAACAGAAATTATTAATGATTCAAGTCACTGATGTCTTATGATAACGCTCCATCAATTGTTCAGCAGATAATATTGGTGTTTCTGGCGCGAAGAATAGAGTACAAAAATCATGGCTACTATGTCACACTGCAGAATACAGTGTTGCCCACAATACAGTTGCTTAATCATGCAATAAGATTATCAATCTCTTAAATAATTAATAACTATTTAGTTTGACGCTTGGCTGAAAAATGATCTTGTGCAAAGTTGAAGCTGAGAAAATGCCCTATAAAAATAGGAATAGAACTTGTTAACAGTATAATATGGAAAAAAGGCTAGAAGGCAATGAACAAATAGATTGGTTTTCCCATATTAATTTCCATATGAACTTTAAATGGTTTGTGTCAAGCCAGTTTCTTATCAAATAAGTTTAAACTTTCGGAGGATAATCAGGACCCGATGTGGAACCGTTTGAGCACTTCGGAGCGAACATTTAAAATTTTGCATCATTGTAATGCACACCTTCCCCGTTGAATAACCATCATCAATAGCACGGTTTTATTTTTGACTTTATGATCCTTTACAGCGTGTTTCACAATAGGTGTTAACATTATATATATTTTTTATATTATATTTACTTGCGACGTGTAATTCTTATAGGAATAGTGATTATAACAAACGAAGGTGTAAAAAAAAATGACAGTTTGTCTTTGAAGATAGATTTGATATAGATTTGTGTTACTTTTAACCGTGGGCTGGTTCGTCTCTGAAGATAAAACATAATATTATTTTTGCTATTTGTCAGCAATTGAAACTATGCAGAAACTAGCAAAAAAATACTGTGTTGGCATGCTGGTATTGAATCCTTGTATCCAATTATTTGTAAGAACATTCCAGTGATCACCAATCAATCATATTACCATGCTTCTGCGTTAATTGTTCTTCAGATGTCACTACTTTTCTTAATGGTGACATCTATCAGAAATTACGCATACACTTTGTTTCGTTGAATACTTTCTATGCCCCACCCGTAACAGGATTTCCCGACGTTTTTATTGATTGGGCGGGACAGACAGTATGTTTATGCAGAATATGTAAAAAAGGAGGGACTTTGGATGTTAATCTAAATGCATATATGCATATGCATGTTTTGCAGTGTCATGTACTCTATTTTGTAGTCTGTAAAGCGAACCCCACACGGTAAGAAATATTGTCAATACTTACAAGTATTGACAATAATATTGATGATGTGAATACAGAAATATTGTCAATACCGATGTATTGACGTCAATATAAAATGTATTGACAATACGATTATTGTCAATACAAACTGTCGTGTAGGGTCCACTTAAGAGGAAAATCACAAATAGAGTGTTTTCAAAATACATGGCATGTTGAGAGATTGAGTTAGTGAGAGCGAATTTTCTCTCTCAAATTAGAAGTTTTCTGCTCTCTGCAGACTGGAAGTCGACCGGGTAGCACAGTATGCGGAAAAATCATTTTTATTTAATAGTAGTTTGCTTAACAATAATTTCCAGGATATAAGTGAACGACAAAATTCATGAATGATTTCTTTAGGCTGTTGTTCACTTTTTTTACCTGAATATGCATCGAAAGTGAATATTTCAAACTCCTCTAAATTTCTGACGATATGTTTCATTTGGTTACTTAATACTCACTTCAACCATTTCATACTTTGCACAGCTCACGATGAGGACGAGGTAGAATTTTTTACGCTGTGGATATTCTGGCAACGGACCAAGTCCAGGGTGCTAGCGCAAAACCAAGTCCAAAGGGAGAGCGTAATTCTGACTTGGTCAGAACCGTTAAGGCCAGAGGATTTATTTCGTGTTATCCCAATAGGGATCACAATAAGATACGAGTTTGATGGTAGAACAAGATAATAAATCGTATGGTTTATATATATATATATATATATTTTGGTTAATTACCTCATTTGTACAGGCTCAATCGTACGGTTTATATAGTCAATACAAAGTTGCACGACATCGTGTGTTTTCTTTAATTACTGTGGAAAGTTGATTGGCACGTCAATTATGATTCAACGTGACGGACAATAATTATTGATGAGCTATGATATTTCATGTTTGGACCTCATCGATGGAAGGGTGCTTTCAAAAGCTTCTATAAGAGCGCGTGTTATTATTGCTGAATTTGCTTGCTTCCGCGCGAAGCACTGAATGTCACAATTTGAATGACCTACCGTTGCACTGCTAAGTTAAGCTGATGGTTCGTTTACTTATAGCTATGGTTGGTTAATCGTTGGGATGTTGTGAATGCGATACGGGACTCTGCTAAATTACAAACACTGATTTCATCACTAGCAAAGAATAACCAGCATCTCCACCGGATCTCAACACGCTTGACTTATTAGTTTGGGGCTATTTGCTACAATATAGAGGAAGCGCGAAGGGATCTACTATGGATCGCTTCAAGCGACTATGGATATGGGTCTGAGTTCCCCAAAATACCGTGCGTGCCAGCCTCGACGGGTTTGCAAAGCGTTTACGTGAAGTTCCAAACGAAAACCGCGAGCGATTTGAACTGAATTAGTATCACGTGTTCGTATAACTTGTAGCTATTAAATGGAATATAAATTTGTTAGCTGTGCTCTAATTTTATTTTATTTTAGTAACACCTATTCTGAAACACCCTGTACTACTCTTTATAATTGGATGATAAGAAAATGGGCTGCTCATAATAGCAAGTTTTTAGAAGTTTTAGATCCTCCCTCTACGTAGACTTTGTATAGACCGTAGTCATTTATCAACCTCACCCCTTTAATACGTGTTTACGTGGTTTAAGAAAACAATCGTTAATTCCCACAGTAATAATGATTTCATACCTATCGTATTTTATTCAATTTATTTTTCTCAATTCGTGAATAGCAATCCCCTGAAGTTTTACCTTTTTCAATTGTAGGACCTTTACAAACGTTCCCTCGCCAATAACGTGCCTGACGTGGAGCTGGTCGATGCGAAGCGAATCAAAGAAATCGAACCATACTGTGAGGGTTTGAAAGCAATTTGGTCGCCACATACGGGAATCGTCGACTGGGAGCTGGTAACGCAATACTATGCAAAGGACTTCAAGCAAGCAGGGGGTGACATTCATCTCAACTTTGAAGTATCGAAGTTCGAAGAAACGAAAGATCCCGACCATCCGATCACGGTTAAGGGTAAAAAGAATGAAGTTGTCCAATCGAAGTACATCCTTACCTGCGGTGGGCTGCAATCAGATAAGGTTGCTGAGTTGACAGGATGTTCATCGCTTCCAAAGATCGTTCCCTTCCGAGGTGAATATTTGCTTCTGAATCAGGACAAATGTCACATGGTCAATGGAAACATATATCCCGTGCCCGATCCAAGGTTCCCTTTCTTGGGTGTTCATTTCACTCCACGAATGGATGGAAGTGTTTGGTTGGGACCAAATGCGGTGCTGGCTTTTAAGAGAGAGGGTTACAAGTGGAGTGACATCAACGTGTTAGAGCTGATCGATGCCCTGAAGTTTCCTGGCTTTATCAAGATGGCATTCAAGTACGTTGGAGCAGGAATGCAAGAAGTTGCTAGATCAGCTTTCATTCCGCTTCAGGTGAAAGAATTGCAAAAGTTTATCCCTGATATCCAGGAGTACGACGTCCAACGAGGACCAGCTGGAGTGCGAGCGCAAGCCTTGGATATGGATGGCAATCTAGTCGACGATTTTGTGTTCGATCACGGTAAAGGAGACAATGCTTTGGCGAAGAATATCTTGCACTGCCGAAATGCACCGTCACCAGGTGCAACTAGTTCCCTAGCGATCGCCAAGATGATTGCTGACAAAATAGAAATTCAATTTAATCTTAAGTAAGTTTTTGAAGATTGGTGCTTCTGTTGACTGATTATAAATCGGGTATTTTTCATCATGTTTAAGCACAATGAAATACCGTTTGGTGATCGTTGTGCACAGGACGTTTTCGCTTTTTGTTTTAGAAAGAACTACCCTATATAACAATACATACCGTGTGCTTTACTATTTAATTTAATAGTATTATTTACCATACCACCCTCTCAACATTTTATGTATTAAGGGGAAGCTCACCGCTCCGAAAAAAATAATTACGCTTTGTCTTTACTAAAAATATTGGAAAAAGATATCAAAGTTCTAAGAAAATCACATTTTTTTTAAATGTTTCAAAGAAAATTCACGTGCAAAAACATTTTTTATAAGTCATTATGGCATAAAGTTGGACTCAAAAAACCACAAAACATCGACTCTTTGGTTTTGCTGAGAGTCCAATTTTTTTCATGATGTGATAAAAAAAATATTTTTACATGTAATTTTTGACAAAAATCTAAGGAAGTAACAAATTTTCTTGGATTTTTGATATTTTTTCTCAATATTTAAAAAAAAATAAAAATATACCGAAATTTTTTTTTTATTTTCGGGCCGGTAAGCTTTCTCTTAAATTACTATAAATGGACAACATTATTCCAAAGCTTTAAAACACCAGAATCAACTAAATGTCAGATTAGCCATAATTCGACAGAAACAGTATCAAATGTCTTTAGCTCTCCTTTTTTCAATTGCTCAGATTTGGATCAGATACCTAGAATTATTTCCTTATGCCAGATTTTTTTTTACTATTCCGATATCTCAAAAACTTTTCTAATACAATTGGATTTGTTTTTTGAACCTGAATTTTTCAAAGTTCAAATATTCTAAAACAATTTTTACGTTCAAACGTTCGGTTGAATGCCCGTAAAGATGATGAATCTGTTCAATTATTTTTTATATCACAGCTACATTGCCTATAATCGCATATCAGTCCCATATGGGAAAAGTAGGTGTTGAGGAAATGTCAGCTACGGAGTGCAATTTCCATGTTAATGTTTGAAAAATCATAGTACATTTATCTTTAAGTTAAAATCAGTTGTAGTGAAGCTTGCATTTTTTATTATATCAGTGAAAAAGCAGAACTTTACCTTGGGCTATGGACAATTTAATTTCAGGATGGGACTGATATTCGATTATTTTGCTTGATGGGACAAACTGATTTGATGTTGTTTTCACATTTTTCATGATCAAAGTCCACATAATATGAAAGTAGATCAAAGTATCACATAATATGAAAGTAGATGCAAATTGAAAGTGGATAACGTTGTTATCTCAAAACTAACGAAAATCCATATGGTTCTCATATGCGATTATAGGTTGTTTTTCTTCATTCGTGGCAGGATTCTCATTATCGCCTCTGTTGTTGTAAAAATTAATATTCGTCTTTATCTTGGTCGGGATGATATTGAGGATCAAATGCAATATGATTTTTTTCATTTTAAACAAATATAGTGCTGAAGAACGTGGTTTTTAGACATAAGTCGACGGCAAATTATTGCCTCAAGCTGAACTGATGATAATATCGATGATTTAGGCAGTGTGGTCGACAATATTCAAAATAATAATTTTGCCCAAAATGTCGTTGATTATTTTGCTTTTGAGGATCACTTCTGATTTTGACAATTTTGGGTTTGATAATCGAGCACTGGTGAATATCAACAAACGCGTATTCGTTGATGTATAATAAACTCATTTGTTCATTTCGCTCCTTTCGTAACTACGAAGATGTTCAAAACAAACGCAATTCATCGACACTGGGTTGAAGCGATACTCCTTGCATGTGATGGTAAATGATAAAAACAGACACTCACTAAGACACCGAGCGCTCACCTGAGCGTGCTTGGAGCGTCTGGACACGAGTCCACTAATCGGCCTATAACTTTGGAACGATGTCACTTGCGGACTTGCGGTCAATTTTATGTCAAAGTAGACATTCCAAAGTATTTTTAAAGCTAAAAAAAAAGATTTTTTGAAATTTCCTGAGTGGACTACCTCCTTAAAGATCCATAACGACGATGGACACGTCCAGAATGACCTTTGTTGTTTTGAGAAGCATGTTTAACTCTACTTCCCCACAAAGGTCACAGGAGGGATATTTTGTTAGTAGGTTGGGTTCTTTGGATCAGGATTCACCTTGATAATTCATGCGACCATAGTTTTGATATAGTTGTTGCCTGGGATGAAACCCACGGTCTTCTTCTCAGTAAGCAAAAACGATTGGACACAACCGAGTCCTTTACATTACAACACACCGTTGGTATGAAGCTATTCAAATGTCCCGCATCATGTACAGTGTATCTCAAAATTGATTGTACAAATGACATTAATTTTTAGAAAAACAGCTTTAAAGCCCAATTTAAAGAGCTATGTTTCTGAGTTTTTGGCTACTGAATTATGATACAGTTATCAATTATTGGTACAGTATTGGGTTTATTTGGTTGCGTTCAGGGTTGCTCTCACTCACTTGCTATGGTTTTTTTTTTAAATTATGGAACGCAATCACTAAATCAACTCATGATCAGCGTCCTGTGGCGATTTAGACAAAAACTTCCATTCAAACCCTCTGCACGATATAATCAAAACTTCGTCCATATCACCATCACTCCTGTCCCGCTCAAACACTGCAGGAGCGAATGTGTTTTCGGTATCTTTTCTTCTTCGAATACACCACACTCGCTTAGACAAAAAACTAGCTCATCTCATCAAACAAAAGATCAACCGCGAGCACTGTCCTACCGGATCACAAAAGAGCATGTGCGAGCAGCACACAAAGCACTATGCAGCAGCAATTTCGGAACAAAATGTTCGCAAAAACTAAATCAATTAAATTGAATTAATCTACACTGCACTGGGCCCGGCAGCAATCAAATCCGATCACCGGTTCACAATATCATAACTAAAAATCTCACTCGGGAACAAAACGTATTCGAAAAACTAATTTAATCGCTCTGCTCGGCTGCCCTCGGAGCACTTTTTTAAAATTGTTTTTCGGTGCTGAATAGAATAGTGGGTAGTTTGAGTGGGTGAGCTAAGAGTTCCGAAAATTTGACGTTTATTTACAAAAGTAGAAACGGCTATTACCAAATTCACTCTTGTCTTAAACAGTAACTATAGTACTGCAGTAAGTATGTCATTAAAGTACCAATGCTACCGGCGCCAGGGAGGCAGCTCCCACACCTCTATTTACCCATCAGCCCCGTAACGCGGGTAGATCACCGTTTCGTGGTACGTTACGGGATGCAAAATCTACCACCGATTCCTAGTCTTGACTACTTCAAACTAGGGGAACAGGATTTTTCAGTAATCAAAGGAACACATCTTAGTCCTTGTTACTTTGTATGCCTTGTTGATCGTGATAAGTCCTCGGGTTGCCTGGACCGAGGATCATCTTGAAACAAGGAAAAAATTAGTTAGTTAGTCTACATCTATGTGATTCCTAATCTTCTATTCGTTGTTCCCTAGTTTGAAGTGGTTAAGGCTAGGGTTCTGAAGCATGGTAATTATCTGTGTCATTCCTTAATTTTGTTGCTAAGGAATCCAATTTTGACTGACAAAGAGGCGTGCCTTTGGGGGGTGTTTCATCACTCCGAAGGGTATAAATAGCGAGACCTTTCAATTAGAATCGATTCCTTGCGATGAAGACAAGAATGTACAACTGTACACAGCAAAAAAATAATTTTGATATCACATCAAAGTGGATGCACTACAATCATGTCGAAAATTTCATGTAATTTTTATGACCACATAAATAAACAAATGCAGTAAAAGCAGCGTAATATCAGTTCATGCATTGTATTAATGATAATTTTGTCCTTTTTTGCAAGTAATATTACACCATATTTTCGACATGATTGTAGTGCATCCACTTTGACGTGATATCAAAATTATTTTTTTGCTGTGTATCAAAACCGAATACTTCATCATTTTTCAATAGTGATGGAGTAATACCAACAATCAATTCGAAACTAACGATTCTACATTGGCTCACTACTTGAATAGCACAGAACAGAAGGGCAAGTGCAAACAAATCGGTGAATCAAAAAGTGTTCATTTTTCTGCTCAACAAGCGATGTGTTGTGGTAGCGTTCCACACGGGCTTTCTATGAGCACTCACACTATCATAGCATGCTGCCTATCTTAACTGCAGGCAGAAGATGCCTTCTACCGCTAGGTGCGCTAGTGTTCGCAAATGACAAGTGGAGCCACTTTCTGATCCGAAGTTCCACTCCTGTGTGAATAGCCTATTCGTCCCAAGCAAACGATTAACGTACTCCATTCTAGTCGAACTTCTAGTACTACATTATGTTTGTTTTGATTTGCTATGAAAGTTTGACAGATAAAATGAGGGGTTCATCGATTTTCCTATGTTTCGAGGGGTGCATCGATTAGCTTGGGACCGAAGATAGTACCAGAGCTGAGCCAAAAAGTTGAGCACGTATCTTCGGGACCTTCTGGTCTTAGAGTTACCTCTATGGTAATACGGCATGCACTAAACAAAAGACACGGGATATACTACAAAAGGTCAAATTACTGGTTACAGTGGTTTTATGTCCCGAACAAAAAAATATCTACCTATCAACTCATGGATCGGTGATCAACGGAATAACTCTCCAACAAACAATTGCCTAAAGGGTGATACGGTCAAAATTTGGTCAAGGGAAAACGCGTGTAAATCGGTGAAATCGTTTATTTAAAAAATCAAATTAAATTTCTTTTTCAAGTTCAATTAGTATAAAATTCAGGAAAAATATTCAGTTAGGCTTCCGCTTTTCCAAATCCGAATTGCCGGGCCTTACGCTTGACCCCTGCAATCAGATTTTGTACAGCCACCTTGTCCACCTTCTTCGCCGCAGAAAGCCAGTTTGCCTTGAACTGCTGCTCGCCCTTAGCAGTTTTTTTGGTCTTCTTTAGGTTCCGCTTGACAATAGCCCAGTATTTCTCAATTGGGCGGAGCTCTGGCGTGTTGGGAGGGTTCTTGTCCTTGGGAACCACCTGCACGTTGTTGGCGGCGTACCACTCCATGG